CATTTGTAACTTCATAATGTTGAAAAGACTTACCCATGAGATATATCAATGGGAAGAAAAAGTTGAAAATAATCAAAGACAGCTTAGAAAGCTTTTCTACAGGAAAGGTTAGCATTTATAAACTTCAAAATTCAAACCCTCTACAGAACTTCATTTCCATGTAACATCGGTACTTTAAGGAGAGAGAAGAGGGGAAAGAGGAGAGATGGATGCCTAAACCACTGAATATTTCCTTGCCAAAAATAAATAAACAAAAMGGTATCTATTTATTTTAATATTTTTTCCTAGGCACTGAAGAGGACTTAAGATACAAACCCCTGATTTGCTGGGGTGTGCAACCCAACTTACTTTGGCTATTTCTTACTTTACTCTTTTTTTGTATAGAGCTTAAACTCTCCACACTAGGTCATTCAAGTCTTGAGTCACCAGGAAAAAGAAGTTGCTGTTTAAAGTGTGGCAGACAACCAAAAGTTCAGACAGCTGCAATGAAGGATTAGTTGTGGGTTTTTCTCACTGCCTTGCTACAAACTGCATCACAGCTCTATGTTCAAACATTATTAAACGGGAATGTTTTCTCTGGCACTGACTACTTCTCCCCACAGTTTAAGTATTGAATTTTTTTAACTGAAGTAGCTTTGGTTTACAGCTCACATTAGAACTTAAAAACATATTTCCATAGTAGCTGGCAATTGCAGGCAACTGTTTATTCTCCGTACCAGCCATAATAAACACTTGTACTTTTATAATCCAACAAATCTTTGTCTAATCACAACTCCGTTTTCAGAGCTGTAAAATTTGCATGCTATTTAAACCATTTTTCATAAAGACTCTCTTGAAATGGAAAGATTTTCTAAGTGTGCCTCCATTATCGATACAGAACAATAATTCTCTGTTAAGGATGTGGTGATATATGGTAGATATTGATGGCAACAGTCTATTGAGAAAAAGCTTTGTAAAGCAGGATATGCTATCAGATCTTCAGGGGGATGGTTTGTCTTGAGGAGACTCAACTTTGATTCTATCTGAAATTTACTCTGGAAAGTATGGAGAAATGACACCTCCTCGGTTGGATGGGCTCTTCAGGTGAATTAAGAATAGCAGCTGACTAACTTTTCGATTTATATTCTAGTATTCCAAAGCAGTAAAGCTCTGGAAAATGGAGCAATTTGAATTTGCTGTTGGCTCATGCCTTGTCAACAGAAGTAATGAAGGTCTGCTTGCAGAATTGCTACRGCAAATGAAAGGGCCCAGCAGGACATTTGTATTCTCATTGAATTTGCCAGAACTGATCATTCTAAAAGTATTTGCTTTTTGTAGCTGATTTTATTGGCAATTGGAATTGCCAAGGCACAGAAGTATGGAGCCTGCAATGCTGTTTTATGGGATCAAAATTAAGCTTTGRAGAGAAAAATCACTACCACCCTTCTTGCTTTTTTTTAATGAACGTTGCTATTTATGAGGATGAATTAGCAAGGAGCCAGTAATAAAAAGAATTGCTATCGGTAAGAATAGGCATTAATTTGAAAAGGATTAYACTCTTAGCAGAGTCTGTGAGATGCACTGATTTTCAATCTGTGCATCCCTTCCCTTGTCTAAGCTTTAGTTGCTACATAAGAAATCCTGCCCTGACAGCCAGCAGTCGTGTTTTTCACCCAAATATACCCTTCAGTGTGGCACTGTTTCTGACTCAGCTTACTCTTCAGCTTCCAAGCAATTCCCCATCCTGCAGGACCCCATCCAACAAGGACACAAGCCCAGGACCCACATTCCTGCAGACTCCTGGGCTACAAATCAGCCAGAAAATGGACTTCACCCACCATCCGCCTCTGAGTGATGACAGAACCACATGCAGATAGAACTGTCACACTTTTGCTTGTGAGCAGTGACAGAGCACCAGAGGCCAACAGCAGCTACCAGAACAGCCAGCTTTGTTATTAGAAATGTGAGCAATTGTTAGAAAGCATCACTGTGCAGCTCTACAACAGGCAATGCTGTTGTAGAGGTGTGTTCAACCATGATGCCAACAGAAGAAATGGGGACAAATCTAAATATCCCATCCAGTTAGGCAGAAGCTGCTAATGTCCGAGGCAGACAGCTCTCAACTGAAGGAATTTTGGGTGGCAGAAGGGAGGCAAGAATATTCCCACAGCCTCCCAAGAAGAGCTGGCAGGAGCAGAGAAGTGGAAGAAGAGACAACAAGTTATTACAGTCACATATAAATGCTGGCATTTAACAATAGCAGCAGGAAAAGAAAAATCAGTTAAAAGAACTTGAGAATGCTGAAAAAGCCACAATAAATACTGAAGAAGTGGAAAAGGAGTTATTTCTCCTTAGAAAAGAACAAGGGTTGGAGTACTGCTTGTACTTACTGAGATGGAACTGGCTTGGGACTCTACATAGTGGAAACTAAGAAAGCCAGAAAAAATCCACAGACACCTGAACAAAATGAAAAAGGGATCATGGTGCCATTTTATGAATATCAAGAGTATCAGTTGYCTCCTCAAGTTAAATGGAATGGTGAAGAACATCAGACTTACTTTAAGYAGGCTTAAGAAAAATAAAAAATTGTCTAATGGACATCTTAGTAAATAATGAAATTCCCACCTGAGAAGGCACCATGGCAGGGGACTTCAGCTGCAAGATCAAGAGCTGAGGAAGTGAGTGGGCATGAGAAGAGATCAACTAAGGAAGCCTTGAAGACCAAACCCCAAGGCTGACAAAAAATTGATAATGYTTGAGAGACTTGCAACAGCCATTTAAAAACTGTTTGGTGAAGAAAAAGRATCAGGGTTCATAGGCACTAAATGCATCCCCAGTGTAATCCATTGAAGTCAAATGAATCACAAAACAGGTAACTCTGGTGCTCAATTTTTACTGGTGGCGTGAAAATACGGCAGCATTTTACCATGTAGTTTGCTCTTTAAAAAAGATAATAGGAACCTCAGACAGTTAGTGCTGGAAAGAGGAATGGAGTTCTCTTACTGGAGAGAAATAATTCTGGCTRGCAAACCAAAGAGATCCTGGAACTTATTTTCTGTCATCTCGTACCTACTGCAGTCTCCACTGCTCACCCCACCGACAGCCAAATCCTGATTAGAAGCTTTATGCACGTTATTTCCACACAAAATGCAAAGCCATGAAACACCTCAGGACCCTGAATTATCAGCGTTGTTCCTGGAGCCTTTGGGGCTTCACACCTAAAGACAGCACACAAGAGCTGGGGCACCACAGGCACCACAGAACCAAAAGAGCTTGGTAGAGCTCTGAAGTCGGTTTGGTAAATGGTGATAGCAAAAAAAAAAACAAAACAAAACAAAAAAAAAAAAACCCTGTAAAACAAAGGAAATATAGATGGTTACATCCATCTCCAACCAGCTCCACATCCTTTAATGGCGGGATTTCTGGATTTGAAAGCTAGAGTATCAAGGATGAAGCTTTCGGGTATCACAGAATCACAGAATAAACTGAGTTGGAACAGACCCACAAGGATGATCAATTCCAACTCCTGACCTTGCACAGGACACACCAACASTCATACCCTGGGCCTGAGTGCATTGTCCAAACACTTCTTGAACTCTGTCAGGCTCGGTGAGGTGACCACTACCCTGGGGAGCCTGTTCCAGTGCCCAACCACCCTCTGTGGGAAGAACCTTATTCCAATATCTGACTTAAACCTCCCCTGACAACTTCAGGCCATTTCCTCAGATCTTGGTCACCACAGAGATCAATCTCCGTCCCTCTGCCTCCCCTCATGAGGAAGGTGTAGACTTCAGTGAGGCCTCCCCTCATAAATGGCTGAGTGCCTTAGGACAAAATCTGGAGTCATCCATGCAGGTTGGAAAGCAAAGGACAAAAGAGGACTCCAGAGCAGTAACTTCTCCTTTGAGCATACGCAAAACCCCCACGGAGGAAACTAAAGTGGAGAAGCTACCCCATTAGTGTATTTTGTGTATTTCATGGGGTGAAGTGATAGTTTGCAATCAACTGCTCATACGCAAATTTTAATAACACAGTTCAATTCCTACAWAAAATTAGGAGGAGTGGAGTGCTAATACTGTGTAGAACAAAGGTGTGAGGAATTGTGGTATACCCTCTGTCAAGGCACAAAGCAAAACAGATTCCAGTCTCCTTACCACAGGCTGAGCTGGGCAAATCTGAAGTTAAAAGGTTTTTGATAAATTTTGAGATTAAAACAGTCTGCCCATCAACTTCAGTGRATTAGTTGTGATTGATATTAAAGCAGATAAAAAAGCCAATCAGATCTTCCAAACATCCTTCACACWCAAATTCAAAAGTTTCATTGCTGTCATATGCTGAAGGACTCTGAAACTCATCCTATGGATTCCCCTTATTCCTTGTAGACACTCAGTAGTGTAGACTASCACAGTTTATATAAGCTATAGCAGCAACAACTTGGCAAGCTAGTAAATCATGTTGTGCCTCCTTAAAAACTCAAAGCAGATTTTGGGTTTGTAATTCACTTCCACTCAGCTGAATTACAGTTCAGTCATAGGAGGTGAATGCTCATCTGAATGTTCATATGTGTTGAATGTTCATCTCCCTTTGATGCATGCAGGATGAAACCTGCAGGACTTCATCCTTGAAAACAAAAGAGGAAAGCACAGGATGAAATCCTGTGTCCCTCTCTGAGTCGAAGGGGATTTCTGCTCTTCAGTAGACTTGGACACTAATTAATTATTCTTCCACTTTTTTTAGTCTGCACCAATACTTCTGTATTGGACTCTGCTGTACAACTAATAAAAATGACAGGAAGTCATATGTAAATATTTTTCATCATTCCATTGAAAATCACCTCAGTTTCCACCCATATTTACCTTTGGATGAAAACTATGAAGGTAGTCCCATCCATCCGAAAATACTACACAAGCTGTTTTTTACAGAAGAGAATACTAAATACATCAGTCATCAGTATTTCATACAAGATTGGTCCCACCTCAACAGCGACCACAGGCTGTTTCAACAGAAAGAGGAAGGACTGGTAGGAAGAAAAAAATTATTTTTATTCTCGGTTTCATATAATGGGATTTAACTTAGTTTTCAAGAAAGATCAACACTGCTTCCAGAATTCTTTAAGCAATGTTTACAAGATCACTAGTTGTGCTTTTTAAATCACATTATTTCAGCTGTTTAAATGTACCTTAATATCTTTYGCTGGAATTCATTATCACTTTATTCACCATCACATAAAAAGACATACATAAATAATACAACTCATAGCTCAGAAAGAGGAACCATTATGTCTTCCATAGTTCATAATCCGACAAAAGTTCTTGAGAATTTAGCTGTACTGCTACAACTTAGTAGAACAGCACCAAAGTGAGAAACCTTAGTGTCATCCCAGAAAACAGAAACAGTCTGTTCAGTTGTGTTTCTGTAAAGGAAAGAAAGCTCAAGGGGGAAACTCATATGCACCAGTTCTGCACAGTGAAAAGCCATGCCCACGGAGGAGTCAGTGCAGCATGGAAGTGACCTTTCAGGAGTGGGTCTTGGGACAAAAGGTGCAGCTTAAAAAAGCACCTTTGAGGTATATCTAACTGGAACTATAGGTGATAAAAAAACAATAGTAAGGAGCAACGGTGAGTCCACTGCTGTAAAATACTTCGTGGTGGTTTCACTCTTCAGGATTCCTTCTTTTCCTCCACTTCTAGCAGCTCATCAAGGAATTCCACAACTTCGCCCTAAAATGATTAAATTTAACAGAAAGAAATTAACTCTGTATTGCAAAACTGGTGGAAAATTTCTGCTATATTTTGATCAAAAAAYAAACTGTAACAATAGGTATCTAAATATTTTTAACACCCTCCATGCAGGCACTAGCACAACAAGCCCATAAATCGCAGGTAAATGGCCCATACAGGGGTAGCACAGAATAAACTGAGACCAGTTTATTCCACTGACGCAGTGGCACAGACCTTAAAAGAAGAAAACATTATAGACTTCAGAGTAAATCCTTTTGTACTTTTACAGGTAGTTAAATAAACAATGAAATCCTTAAACTTAGAGAGGAATAAATGTTTAAAGCACCGGTTAAATTACCAAGTTGTCAAAATACTATAAAACATTTAAAAAAAAATTAGAACGCCTCAAAATTCAGAGCCAAAGTGTTTTGTAGAACCTGAGCTCTGACTTTGTATGTCTGCTCTGTTTGCATCCCCTGTCACACCCTTCAACACACACCTTCTCTGTTTTCAACCACAGATCTTCAGCTGTAAATAGAGAGATGCAGATGCTCAATGTTACATTTCCAACTTTCTATTCTAGTAACTACAATGTTCTGATAAACTGTTAATTTATCTGTGTYTTCCTTAAACTTTCCTGTCCTTTCTCTCTTGGCATAAACCTATAGTCAAAAGAGGTCTTAAGATGCCATTTAGATTTTTTCCAAAACAAATTGTCACTTTCTGCTGGAAAATTTGATCAGTTCTTACTCACTCTCATGTTTAAATTAATGAGAAGTCATTCCAGKTATGCTGAAAGCAAGTCATCCTTGTTTGGATGCTCATTTTCCCTCTTTCCTTCACCACCCATAGCAAGTGGTGCATAGGCTTCCGAGTCTGTCCAATGAAGACTGCAAACAGTGTTTTCAAAATGACACTTTTAGTTCATTTTTGTCTAAAGAGGAATTCCTTAGAAAGACAGCATCTTCCAGACACATTTTTAGACTCAAAATTTTAGAGTTACCTCTTCTGGTGAGGAAAGGGCATTAAAATCTCTGTCAATGAAAACAATAACAGGAAATAGAGAAATTTTGTGTATTTTGAATACAGTAATGGTATTATGGATATTGTGATTAAAAAGTATTAACATCATATTTTTTAGGAGAGAAGAGCCAGGAGAGAAATAATGAAACTAAATAAACAAAAATAAAAGCAAGAGGAAAGCTGACTGAAATAAGTGCTTCACTTATTCCCTGCTTCACAGTTCCATCTCAAAAGACCACTGAGTTTTTGCAACTATGAAGTGCTTTTAGCAAGTCCTGAAGGATGACAGTTTGTTGTGCTTTGAATTTGTTCAAAAGACTTAAGCATCCAAATTCATATTATTGTTACACTCATCAGCAAGATAGAATGTTTCTTCTATCATACAAGACATACAACATACATACACAATTCAAGTTTTTTATTTCTGGTATGTTTTCAGATCCAGGAACATGTAAGAAGTGGAAAAGGATATTTAATGCAACAATATTAGGAAAGAAAAAAACAAAAAACCCTGAAATCTGAAATCTCTAGTGCCTGAAACTGTGCTCTAAAGGAAAGCATTGCAGAAGCTGTTGTGGGCTACTTAGATGTACTGAGGAGTAAGAGATGTTGACATATGGTGAAACCATAAAACACAGTTGCTGAAACAATATACATACATAAATTTGCTGCAATACCACTGAATAATTGTCTGGATATTGGCTATTTGGGAAAAGGCAAAACCTCCAGATTAAAGACAAACAAAACCTCAGTTAAAATACTTTTTTTCCTTCGCCTTCACAATCAAAATGTAAAGCATTTGCAAGTTGTCACTAGAGTGGTTGGCTGCCCAAGGAAAATTGATAATGCTGCCTCAGAGGAGCTGATCACAGTTGTCACACAGGCGGCTGTGACCGGGCCACTGTCCTTGTCCCATTAGCACTCACTTGACACCTCACTGGGCAGGAAGCATGGCTGAAGTCAGCACATATTCCACAGGTTTCATTCCAGGAAAGAAGCCTTCAGTCTGCTGGTATCTAGTAACTTGGTGCTGATCTATGCCTGCAGACCTGGAGTCTGAAATGAGTCTTCGATAGGATTTACATCTTCAGTGGGACAGTCCCTGCACTTACCTGCTGTGCTCTTCGGCTCCTCCCTACCTTTACAGAAAGAACATCCAATTTTCCATGCAAAGTTGGCTGCAAACCCGTAATTCTTTCTGCTGCCAGCTACCCGAGGGTACAACAGCCACAAGCTCCAAYGCAGGTCACATAAATATAAATACAATATACATAAATATAAGACTGCTTACACTGCTCAAGCCCAGWGCCTATGCAAATCATGGTGAGCAATCCATGGCCCAAGGCACCATGCAGCGTCGGGCTGGTAGGTAGGAAATTGGGATGGGAAGGCTGATTAAKCTCAGGAAGAGAAGGGTTTGCTGCCAGAGCAGAATGTGAGCGATCGCTCAGCAGCCAACAAGCAGAGAGTACCCACACGTGGGCAGCTTGGTCAGCTGCAGGAGGCACTTCCTCGGTGTGCAGCCCTCGGTTGTGCCCTCCAGGTTTCACAGGTACAGGTTCAGAGCATCTCACAGCCTCCCTCCCTGTGCTACCAATCTCTTCCCTCTCCCAGTCCAGGGACAGTCAGCAGAAAGTGGGACTGACAGATCAGGGATGTATGGGAAAAGATGGAACAGGTATGGCCTGAAATATGGGAGGTGTGATATCCAACAGAAAAAGGGGAGTGTTCCCAGACTGGTGTGAGTGRTAGGAAGAATCAGAGAAGCTGATCTGACCAACTGGAACCTCTAWCTATCTGTTAGATATGCAAAGTGAGCACTCCTAATGCAGATTAACAACTGAACAGAGGCACAGACAGAAAGAACAAGTTTAGTGCCACAGTAATTAATTCAAGGTTTTACAGAGGCTATGTCAGTAGGTAGATTATAATAAAAAATAATTTCAGAACAGAGTTCTTGGTCAATTCTGAATAAGCTAACCCAGCTAGTGAGATGGGGACACTACTATAAGTGAAGTATAGCATTGGAGAAAACAAAAAGGACCTAAAAAGGAGAAGAATGCAAAACTCCTCACTTAGCATTTCAGTGTACTGAGTGTCCAAGACCACGATATACATCGGGCCAAACCCTTCTTTATGCCATATTAAATGCCACAGTGACACTCACAAAACACAACTTTTTAAAAGAAACATCTGTACTTTGGAGACTCCTACCCAGCTATTGAAATAAAACAGCAGAGAGGAGGAGCTATCAGCACCTGGCGCAGTCACGGCACACTTGAGGCTGATGGTCCAGCTCCAACTTTTCTTTTGACAGCAGCATTTAAAGCCAGCAGCAGCAGCACTGCTCACTGACAGACCCAGACACTTTGACATTGCTCCCAATGACTGCCTTCTGCAAATGCAAACATTAATCATTTGTGGGTCCTGGCCTTCATTTACAATCTGCTCTGTCCTTTCTCACTGTGGACTGGAAAAGTTACAGGAAACAATTTTCTTTCTKGTAGTAACCCATACTTTCCAATGCAGATCTGCTGATGGCCTTTCCTACAGGGATTCTGTAAGTACTGCAGTGGGAYAGTCCATTCTTCAGGGAAGCAACAGAGAATATTAAAAAAAATATTGTTCTAGAATGAATTAAGATCTGCAGAATGTGAACATGGACACGCTTTTATGCGTGATTACCAACAAATGAATAAGAAACAGCTTTTATTCTAACTCATCCAACAACCTCAGCCATAAAAGACAACACACAGAGCAAGAAGAACTGGCTGGATCTCGGTTTCCTTATAATCTATGACCTAGAAGGAAAATAATTTATCTCACAAAATGTGCCCCGGTTGTGCATCAGAAGAAATATTCAAATTTTGCTGAAGTTCGAAGAACTCAGTGGTTGGAAACTTCTTCAACAGTGAGAGCAACAGATTTGGTTCCCTTATGAACTGGGTGTAGGTGATGGGAAGGGTTGCATGGGTGGCCTCTGTGAGGGAGAGGTGAAGGCTGCCCTATAATCAACAAGTGACTGCCCTGTACCTGCCCTAGTAAGAAATGGGAGTGGTCACAAGGAGTGAGGTTATGAAAACCAGAGGATTTTGTTAAGAATGAATAATCACCTTGCAAGAGTGAAGGCAAAGGTTTGATATGGATGGCTGTGGAGGACATGCACTCCATGAATCTTTGCAGAGCCTGCACTTACACACCACACACGCCAGCAATGTTTGAAGGGGGAAAACATTATTTCAGGATAATAACAATAAGGCATGTGGCACTGAGTGGCTCAGCCTGAAAGGTTTATTCAGCCTTCAATCAAGAGGAAGYTTCTTGATCTAACTTTCAGTTAAAACCTGAGAGTTCACTGCAACCACCTCAAAGCCTTCCCAGAACATCCATGAGCTGGACAGTCTAGGCTGGACATTCCTCACATTCTAGCTGGGTTAAAAAAAAACCCGAAAATCCCTCAATTCTTTTTGCAGAAAAATTATTTGGCCCTTAACTTATTTATTTTTCAGATATTTAATCCACACTGTGACCCACTGCCACATGCTTCTGGGGCTTTTTTTTTCTCAATATTAAAAGAGCTTTGTTGKTTTTTACACGAATATTAGCTACTTTCTCAAATATTTTTCCATTTCATTTTAATGATATATTCTGAACCCTTAACTGTTCTTTCCCCATATATTATGGGAGATTACAGCACGCTGCAGTTATTACAGTAGTATTTTACAGTAAACCAGTAAACGTGCTTTCCTTTTCACATATTTATAATGCCTATAAAACATGAGCCAACCCAGTTTCAGAGGAGCTTCAGCATTGCTCCAGTTGCACTAAAAGGAGAAGCCTTGCAGTGGCTTTGTTTTAGGGCTCCACTTAGGCCTCTCTTGCCTGCTTTATGCTGCATGCAGGAGCTGAAGAAAATCTGGGCAGCAGAAGTTCCTCYTAATGCCAGTACCTGCCATTTGGGGCCATCCTGCCATTTGAGCCCAACCATGCTGGCAGCTTCCCGTGTCAAGGGGCTTAAATGGAAGGAGGAACACCTTTGACCGAGACACATATTCAGTAGTGCAGAGGCAAGAGGAGAAAGCAAAAAGACCCAGACACATGGGAGGAATCTCCATTAGGAAATGATGATGGAAACCAAAAAAAAAAACAACCTTGTTTTCTTTTTTCTTTAAAAAAGTGTATGTTGAACAGGGACCATAACATTGCCCGTTAGCTGGTAACTCTCTCTGAAACAGCTGCCCCCAGCTCTTCCCAGGGTAGCAGTGCTGTGTCTGAGCTCACAGGCAGGGCAGGGTGTGCAGGTCTGCACTTACAGCCTGCTGTTACAAGCACACTTGTGCAAATCATTTGAACATATTTATTAGCAAYTGCCAAACAGAAAAATAGGCTGAATTCAGATTACTGTTTGCTGTCAGTACTCCACTGGGGCCCTTGTGTTTTGATGCTATTCCATATGTCACATTAGYTCAGTACCTATTCTTCTTTGCATCACATGGATGTGATGAAATGTGGAGAGTTTTCATTTCAGCCACTACACAAATGAACACACACTGAACACAAATAAAAAGATGTCAAAAAAAGTGGGTCAAAGCTGCCAACAGCTTTTCACCTACTGATTAAGTACTGAAAGAAAAATCACACTGTAGGCTCATCCCTGCCAAATACCTGTGGTTCTTAGGTAATTAAGAAAATCTAAGTAGCTATACCCCCCAAAAATTYCATAACAGCACTGATTTTATGGGCTAAAAACATGTCTTGTACAATTASTGTGGTGCTGAAGTTACATCTACACTAGTTGAGTGTCTGGCTCTTAACAGCATTTCAGTTTTCTGCTTAAATCTGTGCAATTCCAGGAGCTGCATCCATGATAGCCTTGATGCATTACACATCTGAACAGAAATCAGGAAGCCTGTCTATCCATGGCCAACTGAGATGACAACACTGTAATGTTCTTTTAACTTCCCTGTGGAAAACTGCAAGGATATTTGAGAATAATTACTTTYTCTTAAAAGTAATTTGTAGCTAGTTGGCGCTAATATTTGCTGTCACCTCTACGGTGTTAAATGTTTGAATTAAGAGTTTTTCATTTCCTTGTGGAAAAATATTAATAAAGTCACACAAGCAGGACAGTATTTCTTGTAGTAACACATGCAAAAATCATTACTGCCTGTTCCAGCCTCTGCAATTACTGCTRTGCATTACTGAAGAAGCCACATTGTTTGCACTCGCTTTGCTAATGGGATTTAGAAAGACACGGGGATGATCTGGGATCTGGATAGCAACACTGGGAAGTCTAAATAAAATGGGATTCTTCACTTGAAAATAAGGACACTCAYACAGGAAGGGATCCTCTTGCCACATCAATCTTTTTGCTTCCATCAAGGAAAAAATAATTTTTTTTTTTTTTCTGCAGATTATCTTACCAGCCCACAAGTAACTTCACAGAGAGAAAACATGGACCATAGAAACTCACAGAAGGTATGACCTATGGCTCAAGAAGCACATGGTTTAAATAAAGAGAGTGCACTTAGAAGAGAGCTTGCCTCCATCCTTAACWATTTTTAATAAAGTTTTTACTGCAAAGCCTTATCTGGGGTTTTCATAAGTTTTCAACATTCCTATGGAACAAACTTTTCTATCTGTGCCAGGAGAAATATTAAAAAAAGGTAAAATTCCACTTATACTACCAGGTCCTGCCCATAGAGCAGAAACTGCARGGTAGTGGTTTTACCTTTGTGCTATTCCTGCTCTGTCTGGACTCCATGGAAGTCTCCTGCAGCCAAAGACAAGTTCTGGTAGCCAGGRATTTATGAGTTCACCACCAAAAGCCAGAGCCAAGCCGGAGGCATGAACAGCCTCCATTCCTCCTGGATTTTCGGGCCCTAGCAAGGGAGGGCACAGAAGCCCTTCAAGCTTCTCCCCTGGGAAGGAGAACGGAAACTTCCCCAACACAAAGAGAGTGTGAGGTGGGGACAGCTGCAGCATGAGCAGGGCCAGTAATTTGGGTTGTTTAACCCAAACATATAATCCAGTGCAATGTGACTTCCTTGTCAGTCCCCCAAAAGTTTAGCTGAGGKTTTCACTGCACCTCCCTCCTGCAGATTGCAAGGTCATTGGTAATCGCCCTGGTGAAAAGGGCTGCAGCAATGAATGCCAACAAATGAACACTTGTTTATTCCACACACAGTGCTGGAGGCCTCTACAACCCCTTCTTGCAACAACAAATGTGGAAAGCCCTCAAATGTGGAAAGCCCTTCTTCACACCCCTTTATTAATTACTCATCCCTGTGCTCTGAAGCAGCAGATATGAAAGAAGGAAAAAATTACAAATTAAGTTGATGCCTAACATAAGAAAACATGATGGACAAAGCACAAACCAACGAGGGAATATAAAAAATGCTCAGGTATTTCACACCTTGATGAAAATCCATTCAGACCAGCTCTCATCTAAGCTTGACCTTAAAGCAAGCTTATCAAACTGTCTTTCAGAGGGTTTTATCACAACAGAAAGTCTTCTTGAAGTCTGGTAACCTTGCAATGRAATTTTACAYACAGTTGTTCTCAGATCACGAGAAYACTGAAGGCAGCACAGATATTACTTCTCTTCTACAAAATATTCTCTCTCCCTGTGTGTTGGGTAACATAAAAATTGCAAAGATGATTTCATTTTTTAACATAAAMCATCTTTGTTTTTCCTAACTAGAAAAGACCTTGGCAGTGCTCATTACAAGCAGCCTTGCCCCATGTCATAACTGAGTATAGCTCTTTCTTTGCTTTTYAATGCCAACAACATTTCATCATTTGAAGGGGTTTTTTTTTAAACCTCTAAATGAAAGGTCCCAAAAACAAAGCAAAGGGCAATCCAAAACCTCCCATGAATTATACTTTTCAGCTGCGGAAGAAAAAGGAATGCCTTTTCAACAATTTAACTACTTTCTTTGCACCAAAATAAAAAATCCATTTTACATATTTTTCCAGTGCAAATAGTAGTTATTAYATGTTATTTGACCATAAATTCCAACCATTTAAAAAGCATGACTGGGTGACCAAAATGCCACTGAGCAGAAAAAAAATAACAGATAACAAGACTTCCTTTGGGTGAAAACTATAATTTAGGGAGTTACTTCTGGACAAAATCATAAGGATCTTTAAATCTGATTTAAACAACATTTCAGAAAAAAAATCTTCCCCCAAAACCCCCCCAAAAACCCCCCACCAAATCCAGAAAGACATTTGCTTTAAATATATATACACCACTTCTCTGCCCCCTGGTGTTACAACTCAAAAACTGGGTTTCTTCTGTGGGCTCAATGCATTATATACAAAACTTTGTGTTAATTCTGTTTTTTTCTAAATGGTACGTGATGTTCTTTGGGTTCATTCTTACATTTCACTCACCAAACAAAAATTTATTATAAATTGGTCATGTTTACAAGATCTTCCCGTATTAGTGAAATCCTGGAATCAAAATTTTGTATCATCTTCACTTTAAATGTGATTGCTGCTTTTTTGACCATGATTTCATTTCTAGAAAACTCACCTCATCATCATCCATCAGATGCTCCTTCGCGAATTCATACATTTCCAGCTGGAGTGTGGTTATGTTGTGGTATCGAACTGCCTCCTATCAAAAATACCCAAAATTTCTGTTACTTTTGAGGTAGGAAGAGAGGGGAGTGTCACCAAGTGTCACCTAACACTATCCCAGTGAAGTCAGACCCAGCCCCAGTAAAGGCAGATCCCAGGCAGGGTTCAGAGCGTTTGAGAAAGGTAACAGCGAAACAGCAAACAGCGTATCCCAAACTCTTCCAAGGATCTTCCTAAGCACAGGCTCCCTCCCTGCAAGAACAAAGCACTCTCCTCTTTCTCATGTTTCAAAGCCCTGGCAAGTCTGAGAATAAGGAATGAGGAGCTGAGCAGCAGCCTGTGCCTGCATTCCAGTGGGCTTTGGACAGGAGAAATGCTCTGTCTCCCTGCGCTGGCGTAGGGCAGCAGGCAGTTCTGGGAAAGACAGGCACAAAGCTGTTTTGCATGATAATGATTCAC